TTATTTTCAGTATTATTATGTCGACATCACAGGTTAAACGTATCTGTGTAGATGATGCCTGTAACATTGTTTTTATACGATATAAACTTTATTCCCTTTATTAAGATTTTGAAACCAATTCACAAACTTATATTAATCACTCTTGAACCGGTTCCCAGAGAAAACCCCAAGTGGTGATGCAGATGACCTAATACTTTTTCTCGTCCAATCGGGGAATCGAACAAATGTCTTGGTAAAAGTTGAGTTCGTTATTCACTGCACAATCCGACTACCCCATGAAACGTTGTTGTAAACTTTCCCAGTTACTGCTATGTATCGACATAGTGTTTTGAGTGTGTCATGTTGTGTCCTTTCGTATCTGTTGTCTCATTTTCAAACTTAAATTTAATGGTGTTGAATAAGTGAAACGACAGTAGATTTACTGAGGTATAGGATAGTTAATGGCATGATCATTTTAGTTTTCCTTAAAAAAGAAAAAGTGAACATGTTTTGCATAGTTTCATATACAAATAGAAGACGTTTCTAAGCAACTGAATGCTTTTCAATTTACTTGTCTGTTAAAACGTTAGCTGTTTTGGATTGTTTTACATTTAAATGTTATTTTTAATAATAAACGATTGTAGTTGCTGCCCTAATAATAGCAATGGTACGATATCGTGTCAATATTAGTTAAGAACAACAAGAGAAAAGGAAGCCAATCAATAAGGAATCAATGAACAATCAATAAGTTTGCGTAAAGTAGTTTTTATTTATATTACTCTACGTATATACATGTACATATACATACCCCCAGCATCATCGGTCACTGGGCTGTTCTCGGCTACACATTTGACACCGATCATTTGTTATGATAACCGCTACGGTTTGCTTGCTAACAGTTTTCGATTTAAGTCAATTTCTTTTCCTTGTAAATTTTACCCGAAAAACAATTACATACTTTAATTTCGCACAAAGATTTTTGAAGTACCAACTTTAAATAATACAACGTAGCCCTTAGGTACAAATGTAACAGAAATATGCACTTGCAGACGATATAGGTCACAACCAGTAGATGACATTGGTCAAAACAANTATATATAAAGCTGAGATAAGAGGAACTTGTGGTTACATATATAGCAATACACCTGTTTAAATGTTGGTTGTGAAACCGGTCGATAACAAAGTTTACAACTTAACGTTAAATAAAAGAAAAGCAGATTTTCTTGCGTAGAATATTAAACTCGACTTCAATTTAGGGTGTTTGCCGAAAACTGTATGCAATATAATTCCAAAGTTCAACACTTGCACAAGTGAATTTATAACTTTCATTTTTCTTCTAGGAGATTCCAGATATTATAGCGACTTTCTATATATCCATATATTTAATCGCCCGTGCGTGTATTTATCAAGTCTTTTATGTATTTAGGAGCAAGGCATGTATTGCTTGTGCTGAAAATAACTGCATTACGTTTTACTCTTGATTGGTTTAAAATGATTATCAACTCCATGACCTCACATCACAGAAGAATAATTTAAGATAAGAAAAACAAAATGCCGCTGTTGAAGTGTATTTAGAGTCTTCTCAAGGTCCTTCTTAGAAATTTGTTTGATGGAGAAATGCGAAAAGGTTCTAGATTTTTATGATACTGTTGACTAACAATCAGCATATTTGTTGATTAAACTTAATTTAGTACCGTGCTTTTATTAAAGCACCATTTAAGAACATAATAAAACTCATATTGTAACTTGTATTCAATAATAATGGGATTGTCTCCATTTGCATGTAGTGTCATATACATACAAATCAGTTCCACGTTTGATTTATAATAGATATTATGAAAGTCAAATGCCCGTTAATAGAAAACACCAATAGCTAATGTTCGGTAGGATGAGTAAACATGTTCAGATTTTAAACATTGTTTTTGTTTGTCAGAAATGATATCGATGTAATCATATTATATAATCATGTTCGGCTGAAAAACTGTTCTTTATAAAATGAATATATAATTATTGGTCTCATCAATTCATTACAAATATATAGTCGACAGATTTAACAGGTCAGTCTGAGTCTGAGTGTTTTTTTTTCTGACAATAACTAATACAACGCTCCGGACACTGGTCAGTTGTATTCGGACTGCGTCACACTCGTCACTTGTCAATTGTCATCAGCGCTACGAACTTGCGTCATTCTGACGAATCGCAGTTGAGAAAGAAATATTTCCTTATTTCCTTGTGTCAATTGTATAAATATGGCAGAGAACCAACTCTAAGACATTCGCAATATTTACTCCGCAGAGAATCTATTCAATATCAAGGTAAGTCTTACCGTCTTTGTTGTAAGCAATATTGTTGATTTGTATAACCTTTCATTGCTTTACACACTGCTTCAAATTGTTGAAGCTAACGAATGTTGGTTTTACTATTACAGGTATTATCAACTCAAAAGTCATTTATTTACATGTTTTGTTGATAAAAATAATCCCGTTGTGTACGTTCGAGTTAAACTCTCTACGTGTTTTCATTTCTAAATACATACTATTGCTTAACCTCTGAAGTGTTTAAACATTGATTTGTTAAAAGGGATTACTATGTTCCCTTTCTCTCATTCAACATGTACAGTTTACAGTGTCCATTGCTATTTGGATTACTTATTAAAGGGTTGTAAAACGATGTTCTAGAGCATTTATCTCTGCTACCGTTCTGACTTGAATAAATATGTAGCAACCGAATAATGTCTAAAAGTTATACCAACATTATAGCGACCAGTGTATCATTCAACAAAACATATTAAACTTTTACTTATTGTTTTATAACAACGAATCTGATTTCATTAACTGTCAAATATGAACATGTATGCAAAAATGCAATCAGAGAAATATTAAACAATATTTTATTATATAAATATAATTGGTATATTTCAGTATCTACCACACCTACACTATGCTGAAGGTAATGCTCCTCCTTTCCTGCCTTGTTGCTACTGGTCTCTGCACTCTGTACCATGGTAAGTAAATTGGATATTCACATATCAACATAGAAATTGCCAATATGATATAGGTTTCATATGCGGTTTATATCTTTGTCTCAAAATGTTGTATGATGAGGTAGTATAATTCCTACAATTCACATTACTTATGCATACGTTTTCGTTTGTAAATAAGAAAGTCAAGAAGTTATTAGCGAAGTATATCAATTTGTAAACAAAATTAATGCAGCATTGTCGACATATGTATAATGTAGTGTAAAATAATTCATGTTCATTAACAAACCTAAAATATCTGTAAAATGTAGTCCTTATTTGTTTTTGTGTGTATGTCAGCTCCTATTTCTAAAAGGCATTAAAAGGCTTAATATTTGACGATACCGTTTTTGTTTATTTTGTTGTAGGAAATTCATTTGGATCTGGCTTGGGATCACTATTTTATGATGGATACGGAAATGGTTTGGGACTTCTAGGAAACAGTGGAAGGGGGTCCGGATATGGAGGCAATTACTATGGACGCGAAGGATACGGATTGGGAGGCTACGGAAGTGGAAATGGAAACAAATGGGGAAGACGAAGTTCAAGATTTGGTGGATATTAGGAAAACTGGCAGCAGAAAAAAACGAGGTACAATTCCAACTCATTGTTCTTTACTTGTTTCCCTCAGATTGACATGTGTTCTATTAGGACACTCGCCTTATAATAACAATAGGCTGATGTTTTCTAAAAGGAGATGAGTGCATTGGTAATTAAACAAACGAGACCTGATAAAACTTTCAATCAACACTAATTGACGGACAAGTTTTCATCATAACTCAATAGAAAAATGTATAGTTTTAGTGTTCATTTTATAAAATATTCATGTATCCAAAAATGTAAAAGTGAAAATATAATTGCACACAAGTATTACATCCCTATATGTAATACATTTAAACATTTGTAATTGATATAATCATAAGATGACATGTCGATCGAGCAAATACGAAGTCCAGTCTTGTTAATATGTCACAATGTCAATTCTGTAATAACGTTTTCTCTCTTTCATTGCAGGTTCATCTGTCGCAGCATACATTATCATTTTATTTATTTACATTGTGTTGTTTTCACATAATAAATCATGTTTTTGTAAAACGATTGCTTGAATTTGTTGTGATGTATTGAACATTTTTATAAAACAAACATATCAAATACTACAGCTATCAACTGACAACTCGTTGTTGTTTTGTGCTAAACATAAATGAAATGATGCATTTTATTATAGTTCTTCGCGATACAAGTGAACACACGTGTCTCCAAGATAAATACAATCATACTATGCTTAGTATTCCCACTGAGTGACATTCTTAATTTTACATTTGGTGCTAGAGATCTCATTTTCTAATTTTATCGAAAATTCTAGAGTTTTTACTTCATTTCCCAGCCGAAGCAATGTTGACAGTGTGACAGACACCGTTAAACCAATGGCCCTACACAACTTCATTCCTTAGGATTACAAAACAAAACAAAAACGAAACAAAACAGAAGAATTACAAAGGTGTAACATCGCGACCACGTCATCAAACATCTACTAAGACGTTTTGTTTAGAGCCTCACAAATCGCAATGGACATTATGGACAAGTATCAAACGTTGATGTTGACTTAAAAAACATTACGTGCAATGTAAACAAAAATAATTGCCAAGCAATATCATAACTAATAACCATGCAGTTTTAGAAGCAGTAAAACATTAAACACGAAATTAAATATTCCCCTTCGTAGTGAATTACTATTAAGATTGACAGAATATTTGCGAAAACGGACTATTTTGGAAATTAAATTCAGAATTACATTTAGTAGATTAAAGTTGTTTAATAATAGTTATCGTAACTTTTCGAGTGCTATAGTTAATGGAATCATGGTTATCTGTTACAAGTATCAATATCTTACTGAATTCTCGTGTGTTTCACACCAGAATTACAAATATGAAAATATACGAGAACCAGTGTTAATATATATAGGATCTTAAATGAATTTCTATTTCATATGAGATTTATGAAAAGAGTCTAATAATTTTTCAATTTAGCGAGCCTCTGCCGAGCTCAAAAGAAAATTCGTGACAAGTTTCATACATTTCAAATGAAATGGAAACGAGTGTAAGATCCTTTTTATCACACAATAAGATTTGTGGCATTTCTTCGTGTAAAACGACAATTTTCATGAAGCCTGGACATCTAAAAAAATCGCCCTTTTGACTTCAGTGCATAAGTCTGTGACGTCATGTTCTTGCTCTAGGCGTGACGTTACAATTGAAACAATCATATTACATGGGTTAATACGCAAAACAATATGACAAGGGTTATATTCACTCGGTAACACATTATGTGTGCATTTTGATATAAATGTGTTGTGCATACTGTTAACTGTTATATTTTGTCCATCAAATGCTTGACTCTTATTTATGATATGGAATCGATAATTAATAAGTGAAAGTAAAAAATAAAGTACCATATCGTAAAATTAAAAAAGTTTAAAAATAAGGTCTCCAGGTCGATACAAAATGTAAACCTAAATTAGGAGACAACAACAAAGAACAAGACTTCATAAACGTTCATACCCAAAGCGGGGGCAAGCCCAGATGTACCCGTTAGGTACAAAGTTCCCTAAACCACATGCCTCACCTATTATGAAATTATGAGATAAATCCAAAAGAGTACATAGATTGATCTCAGAGAGCAAACTAATCTATCATCATGGAAGACACTGCAGTTTTATTTATGATTATATCTACAAGAGGAGTTTGAAGCTATAGAGGAAACATCAGACAGAAGAACTTCAAAAAAATAATTAAAACACCATCAATATACCACAAGGTATCTGAATGTAAACTCAAAATATTGAACAAGTGTTATATTTCCCTTATATACTAGCTCTTGTAAAACTCAGCGTCATAAGAATGCAAAACAGACGAGGTAGACTGTAAGATCTCCACTAGAACACCGATGAACTGTTAAAGTACTAATCAACCAAATTGAAAGGTTGTTGATTAAAAGTCTCATTTGTATATTATCATCCTCTCTCTTTATTGATCCTGTTAACTATCATTGTAATAATTCGCTGCAATTATATTTGATTCTACATTTGCTAGATATTAAAAAAATTCTGATTTACCAAATGTTTCAGATATTGTTTATTACATACGAGAGGCACTAATGCTCTGAATGTCTAGGCACACAATTGCGTATTCGGAAAGGAATGCCGTAAACCCAAACATGCATTTGTACATTGAAGATAAAGTGATGCATGTTAATTATTTGGAGGTAAGGCTGAAACTTAAAAGAACTTCTGTAATCTACACTTCAATCATTCCAACATTATATGTAGTGTTCGTAATCGATTTTCATATTCTATATTACAGTTACGAGTATTGTGATTTGACTCCTCTTGCCTAGAAAACGTATATAACTTACCACACCTGTTCTCAATAGAACTGATGTTGAAACGCTAAATAGGTATGAGATCGCTGTGGAGGAGAAATACACAGCAGATTGTATTATCTGTATTGTCATGTCGACATCACAGGTTAAATGTATTTGTGTATATGATGCCTGCAACGCCGTTGTTATAAGATACAAACTTTATTCCTTTTACTACAATTATGAAACAAGGTTTCAAACTTTTATTAATCACACTTGTTGGGCGGGTCGAAGCACGGAGAGTGTCATAATGTGAGAGGAAACCGGAGTGCCATGAGAAAACCACGTGATTTGGCAGGTGACCCAATTATGTTTTACGTCCGATTGAGGAATCAAATCTGGGCCGTTTTGGAGAACGGAGATTGCGTTATCCACTGCATCACCCTACCACCCGATGTAACATTGTTGTGATGCCTCCCCGGTTCCTGTTATGCACCGACATAGTGTTTTGTTTGTGTCCTTTCACGTCCTATCGTATCTGTTGTTTCATTTTTTAAATAATTTTATTTTGGTTGAAGAAGTGGATTTACTGACGTATAGGATAGCTAATAATATGATCATGTTTGTTTTCTTTTCAAAAAGAAAACGTGAACCTGTTTCGCATAGTGTCATATACAATTAAAAGACGTTTCTAAGTCAGGTATATATATAATGATTTTCAATTTTCTTGTCTACTAAATGGTGAGCGGTTTTGGATTGCTTTACAAATATAAACTTTGTATAAAAAAACGAATATAGTGGCTGGCGATGCTGCCAAAATAATAACAAATGTACAATTATGTTTCAGTATTAGTAAAGAACAAAAAGAGAATATCTAACCATTGTTTCGGGAGAAAGGGCACGATGCTTTGAGTGTTTTTCATTGCATTTTGTTGTGGTTTGTAGTTGACAGAACTTAAACATCATAATTATCCTAGATATGTCTTTTCAAATCACTTGTGTAAAGCAGGGCTCGCTTGTTCAGTACAATAAAATAACAAGAGAATACCGATGCGTCAACAAAGACATAATTCGAACTAAAAATCAATAATGCTCCGGTAGGGTAACCTTCTTCTGATTCATCGACGACAATTGCGTTGTTAATCTTGGTCATGTCCAAGTAATGCCACGTCCTCATACCTAACTCTCGTATAGTGACAACAAAGCCACAAAGCACACTAATTGACATTAAAACAATAAGAAAGAACAATGTTGTCATATGAAATTATGTACGCGACCATAAAACGTGTCCATAGTCTTCATGAACCTGCATCTTTAGAAACCATGCGTGTACGTTTGTCCGTCAACAATCGGCATCTCTTACGGAAGTCATGCTATTCAGAGTAAGCTCTTGTATTACCGAATCAACTGGCAGAAACTAGGATGCGGAAGCGGGCATTTTCGTGACGAAGTCCGGCCATTGGTGCCGTATTATCATCCATAGATCGTAATTTTATTCATTAAGATTGGAGATATTTATAATATATGCCGTCTGAAAATGTTATTTTTCACATTCTCTTATTAACATATATACCCTTGTTTTTTTTATACCTGATTTGCTATTTTCTTACTTCGTATCCCGACAGAATGCAATTCAATACCTATGTATTCAACACGATTAACATTAGTCCTGACATACACGATGTCATGAATGGTTAGCTACGATGCCAATCATACGAAGGAATAAATGAACAATCAATAAACTTACATCAATTAGTTACTTTGCCATTCCTCTATTTCGTATATACTTGTGTAGTTATGCATGACCCCAGGCATCATCGGTCACTGGGCTGTTGTCAGCGACACATTTGACATAGGTCAGTTGTCATCATACAAATGTAATCGCTACGATTTGCTCGCCCACACCTTTTGATCCGCAGTCATTTCTCTTCCGTGTTCATATTTTCCCCTGAAAATTACTTGCACACTTTAATTGCGTACAAAAATTTTACTATGTACCAGCTTCAAATAACAAAAGGTAGCCCTTAAGTACAATTTAACAAAATATATGCACTTGCAGATCATATATGTCTCCACCAGTATCTGACGTGTCAAAAAATAAAGTAGACTTGTTTCATTTTTTTCAAATACTGCCCTCAAACATTGAAAATACAAACTACATTGTATATATAAAGCTGAGATAAGAGGGAACTTGTGGTTACATGTACAGCATTAAACCAGTTTCAATGATGATTATGAGACCTGTTAAAACAAATGTTTACCACTAACCTTTAGATTGAACATTTTATGATACAAAATTGCCAAGCGCAGAATATCAAATATGAGATATAATTCCAAAGTTCAACACTTGAACAAGTGATTTTATTATTTTGAAATTTCATTTTTCTTCTATGAGGTTTCACATTTTTTTGCGGCACAGACACTATGCTGTATCCATAAATGTAAACACCGGTGCATGCATTTATTAAGTCTTTTATGTATTTAAGAGCAAGGCATGTATTGCTTTCGCTGAAAATAAGGACATTACGTTTTTCTCTTGATTGGTTTAGAATGATTATCAACGCCATTACCTCAGATCACAAAAGAATAATTTAAGATAAGAAAAAAGGCTGAATATAGAGTTATAAGATTGGGTACATGTAGGTATTTGGAGTTGCCTTCTTCTTTGTGCGTACAGTCAAAATTCAGCGTTATAAGAAAACAAAAACAGGTCTGCTTTTAGCTATCGTAATACTATTAAT